CCACCCCGAGCCCCCTCAGCCCCCAATACCTCCAGGCCCTGCTTACCTGGTTCCCCAAGGCTGCCGGCACAAAATGTTTGCTGGCCAAAAGACCTAGGGTCTTAGTGCTCAACCGCTCCCCTGTTCCTATCCCTGCACTTAGTTTTAAAGGGGACATGCTGTTTTAATGCTCTTTTATTTTAATTTTTAATTTTTTGGCTTAATAAGTCCTTGGAGTTCTTTTTATTTTTTTGCTCAACAACTTTGGTCTCTCCCCCTTTTTTCCCCTTTCAACAGAATTGTTTCCCAGTTTTTTTGGGGGGAGGGGGTGTTCGGTATTTTTGTTCCAACCATCTGGCAACCCAACCCTTCCAGCTCTGCTTCCCGCTCCTCCTTCCTCCCGGCTGGCCCCCAACCGCCAGAGCAATGATTTAAATGACAAAAAACAAAAAATCAATTGAGCAAAGGACCTAAGCAGCAGCGGGGGAATCTTCTAGGGGATTTATAATTTTATTCTTTTTAATCCTCCTCGCATTTCCCAAGAGCACCAAGAAGCAGCACATTGCATGTGTTAGTCCTTCACTTGTGAACGGAAACTGTTTCTTGCTTTCAAAGAAACCCGAGTAGCCAGGCAAACGAAGGGGCAGCAGGAAAATATGTGAATAACGTTGTGTTGCTTCACTTCCAGGCTGAAAACTCCTTGGCATCTGCGACAGGAGGGCCTCCGATCTGCCTTTTTGGACATGTATCCGCGCAGCTCTGAGGAGGAAGTAGGAACGATCAAATATCAGTATGTATTACACAACAGAAACGGAAGTGATCTGCAATGCTTGTTTGTCTAGAGGAGTTCTTGCTGGAGGTTGCAAAAGGCTCGGAAAGGATTCAAATCGAAACCACAGTTATGCTTCCAGAGGTATTCCTGGCCGCCTTTCGGAGCTTTCTGGGACTGTTTGTCTGAGGGAGATTTTTGTTTGAGGCTGCGGAATGCGGGTTTGTTTACGTGACCTTCTTCACAATCCCTGCTCTAGATTTTCAGTAGTGACAGGTGGTTTGGCGAGCCTCAGTTTTAGGATATTCATCTGGAGGTGCCTTTGAAGTAGGAACAGAGAAGCGGCCCCCGGCTTGCCTGGATCCAGCCCCCGAATCTTCCCCCCCCCACAGCACTGGTAGGGCTGGAGCACACACAATCTACTAGCCTGGCCCTCTCAGGCTCTGGTGTGTGAGGGGAATGTGGGGAGTGTCTTTCTCCTCAGTTGGGGGCCACCTCAGCGAGGGATTTTTGTTTTGTTTTGCTTCTCACTTGTGTGCGGCCCTCCACTGATTTTTCTGTGGGTCAGCAGCCCTCAATCCTAAAAAGGTTTCCCACCCTTGCTTGAAAGGGTCTGATTTTTCAGGAACCGCCAAGCACTTGCCCGCTGAAACCCCAGCCTCTCTGAGAGGCTGCAAACGGGGCACCCACACTCAGTAGTCATTTTGGAAAAGTCTGGGTCTCTGTGTTGATCTGGAAGTCGGCCAATGAGCAAGCAGAAACAATGCCACATGATCCAGCTTGCCGGTTGCATTAGGCAGCTGGTTGATAGCAAATCATCGAAGGGACAGGCCGTGAATTAACCATCAGCTGAAATATGCGCTCATAAACCTTTCCCCGAATAATGAAGCGTAATGAACAAATTAATCCACACTCACGGCTGGTCGTGGTTAATTTGGGAACATAAAAAAGGAGCCAAATCCTTTCATAAGTGGCTGATTACGGATCGTTCATCGTTGCTCGCAGCAAAAAGAGCAGGCTGCTTAGAATTAAGGAGATCCCATCTGGTTATTTATTATTGATGTCGTGGGGATTTTTCTTTGACTGTCTTCAAAAGATCAGCTCGGGGTGTTTGACGGCGCTTCGCAGCAGTGATGTGGAAACGCTTTTAATAGTGGGGTGCTGACATTCACCTCCCTTGGCCTTGTCTGCCCACCCCTCGCCCCCTTGAGCTGGGGAGCGGGCAGGGGTGTCTAGCAGCTGGGGCCTTGGCTAAAACCTGAGGGTGCTGCCTCCCTTCTAGTTCCTGCGCCTATGCCTGGCAGGGCAGGTCAAGACTCTCCTTGGCTCGGTGAGTTACGGGCAGATGTGTGCTGTGCACGTCCCCCACTTTGGCTGTTAGGATGCCAAGTGATTCCTGCCTTGCCACTCAGCCCCTTCCAATTCTGTAACTTAAAGTTTCCAGCTAGCATTTAAAGTGACTTGGGGGGAGAGATAGCTCAGTGGTTTCAGCATTGGCCTGGGCTGTGAGTTCAATCCTCCCTCTTTGGGGCAAAAATTTGTCAGGGATAGTACTTGGTCCTGCTGCAAAGGCAGGGGACTAGACTTGATGACCTTTCAAGGTCCTTTCCAGCTCTAGGAGATAGGCAACCTCCATTAATTATCTACCTTGCAGATCAGTGCCACAGCCTGGCCAAGTCCATGGAGGCAACCAAGCTCCAGGGTGGTTGGTAGGCAGGATTTGCACAGGAGGCTCTGGCTGCTGAAGGCCAACAGGAGAGCTCAGCTTCTGATGGGGAATTCTTCATACGCAGGATTTAGGTTTTTGTGTCCCGTGACAAACAGTCTCAAAACACTGACTTCTCGGGGCCTTCTCGGGGCCTCATCCTGACCCAGGGACGTCCCTGGGAGTGTTTCCTATGCTATCCATGGGGCTTTCCATTTGGTTAAGTCCTCAGGCCTGCTGTAGAACATCCCTGTGACTGGTTTGGTGCCACCGACTAATGGCTGCAAAGTTGTTAGTCAGGCTCATTACTGATGACTGCGTTGGAGCTAAACTGTTCTCTACCCTGCTGAATTGGCGCGCTAATTGCTTTGCAGTCCAGTGTGCAGCAACAGCAAGGCTAATCGGATCATGTAAATCCACCTAATTAATCCTCTGCGACGGCTCATCTCTGACTTGGGCTGGACAGAGTCCGCTGGAGGGAGTATACTGCTCCTCTGGATTAGTAAGCACATTGCGCATTGCCTGAGAAGGGCAGATCTGGGTCTCCACTCCAGCCCCAAGCACAACCTCCTCATTCTTATTGTTTAAGGTGAACTCTTTGGATCGAGAGCTTGGCTCCTTTTGCTTCTAGCTGGCCGGTTCAGACAGAACTCAAGCTGGATGGGACCAAAACCCTTTGCTCCTGATGGCTTGTTACACGCCTACAAATACACCGGTTCTGCCAGTGTCATTCCTAGTGGACGTATCCGTAGCACAATCCTCCCACCTTGAAATGGGACAAAAAGTCAATTTCTCAGACATGTTTGCCACCCAGAAACCCCCCACCAGTTTGTACCATGCCAACTGAAAGGTGTGTTGACCTTTTGAAAAAAAGCATCCCCTTCTTTTTCTAAACTCTACATGAACTTACATTTTGAAATGAATTTGTAGGCACAACCCCAAACCAGAACTTTTAAATCTATGATGGGGGCTTACCTCACACAGCCCCGTGTTAACCCTTTCCCAGCATCAGGTATAGGTTGAAACTTTCTAGTCCAGAACTCCGTCATCCAGCATGATTTTAGTTGGCCGGATGTCCATTTTTCATGGGTGTGGCCAAGTTCCCTGTGGTCCCATACAAGTTTGTTTACAGCCCCCAGTCCTGGCTCTGTGTTCTGTGCTGTTATTTAGCTCTAATTTAAATGTCCTCTAACTGCCCAGCAAGCCGTAGAAGTGTTGGCAATGCTGCTAGACAAGATTGATCTCCCATGGTATGGAACACTCTCTGGTTCAGAACCTGTCAGGTCCCAAGGGTGCCAGACTAGAGAGGTCCAACCTTTGTATCTACACTGTGATCAAAGACCAGGGGCAGGGGCAGGGCAGCTATGGGACTATAAAATTACCACGTATGTATCGGTGCGCTAAGACACACTCTGGCCCACAGCATTTTGGACCACGACTACAGAATATCGTATTAGGTTATCGGGAGGTTTAATTAATGCTTGTCCCGTTCCCGAGGTGCTAGGATCGGAGACGCTACATAAGATCAGCGTGGTGGAGCAGGCAGACGAATGACAGTCAAATGAGGCGAGAGGGACAGCAGCTGTATTTATTTCATGTTGGCTACAGACTGCAGGCCGGTTCTTTAATCTTGAAGGCCCGTCCTTAGAAGCTGTTATTTTTTATCTCTGCCTGAAAGGTTGGACAACATTAGGAAAGAGGAAGAAAAACCAAACCCAGCAACCTGCTCTTTCATGATAAGGCAGGAAAGCAAAAAAGCAGCCGTGCCAAAGGGTTTATACTGGCTTCCTGGCCATTAAAAGTTGCGGTATCATCTCTGTGGCTGCTCCCAGCTGACTCTGGACATCAAAATTACCCAGAAAGAGCCCGTCGGTTGAAAGCCGACAGGAGAAAAAAGCCAGTGTCCTTTAATTGGATTTTTATAGCTAGGTAACTGTCACAGAGCCCAGACCCCCATGTGTTTGTTTTCTTCTAAAAGTCCAGACGGGGATGTTCAATGCACGTTCCTGTCGATCACACGCATGGAGCGTTCCCCTGGTGCGCCAGGTGGGTTTGCTGAGCCGGCCGGGGCGGGAATTAACAGGATTCTGGCCTGTCCGATCTCCCCACTATCGCAGGAGCAGAGGGGGACAAGGAGCTGAAAGGAGCTCAGCGTGGCGACAGGAAGCTCTCGTCTCCCCCAAAGCTCTGCTGCCGTAATGTGAAAAATGGGCTTTCTCTGTGCACGCAGCCGCCTGGGTGACGGACTTCAGCACTTGGGCTGATTTGGCTCGTGGGGCCGCCCCCAAGCTGACAGGCACCCACTAACTGCGTGTGCTTCTGCAGACCCCCCGGGTGGCTGTCGGCTGATCTCCCCATGGCAGGCACTGGAATTGTCATGTTCTTTCAGCCTTCACCCCAGAGGGCCCTGGAGAACAGGGAGGGCGTCACTTGTGGTCTCAAGAGGAAAGGCAGGGCTCTGTGATTTGCTTATATTGCGCTGAGTTTTGTTTTATTTATTGCTGTGCTCTTAAGAGTTAGGAAGGTCTCTAAGCCCTGCATTTGTCAGCCTCCTGGAAGGGGTGGGGGGATCAGGATCCCCATCTTCCCACGACTCTGCTTAAAGGGTGGCAGTGGTTGCTTGTTTTAGTAGGAGGAGGTAAAACAGCTTTGATCCCTCGAGGACACATGCTCTCCCGTGTTCCCTGTAAGCTGAGCGCTTGGGTGGTCCCCCAAGAGAGATACAGAGGCTGCCCAGCTGATTAGCAGAGCCCAATGCATATGTTTCTCTTGGTGGTGCACATCTACACATATCTCGGTGCACGGAGCAAAATTTATTCTGCACGTGAGTGGAAAAAATTTGAGGGAATACTGGTGCTGAGCTTGGAAGAGACCCTCCTCTACAGGCATGAAGGAACTGATGGTTCGCCAGACCAGCGAACTGTGCATCAGGAGACGCGAGTTTTATTCCTGGTGCCACCATTTGCTTGGTGAGTGACCTTGATCAATGTGCTGTTCTTCACTAGCAATACATGATGCAACAGGCTGGTGGGGTTGTTGGAAAGATCTTCACTGGTCTAGGTGTCATTCTCCAGTTGGATTGGCAGCAGTGTGTCCCCTAGCCTGTGCCCCACGTGCCGTCCGCAACCTATTTTCCAGTTCCACGCTGGGCCAACATCACGGCTGATCTCAATGGGAGTTGGATCCATCTAGCAGAGACCCGATTTGGACTCTCAGCTGCATCTGTTTCCCTGGGCCAAACCCTGACTTCCCTGCAGTCACTGGGACTTTTTCCACAGTCCGTGGCGGGACAGGAGTTTCGTAACAGCACCCTGCTCCATCTGTGATCTTTATCCATCCTGGAGGGGTATTGGGAGGCTTGCGGGGGGTGTAAAATGCACTAGGATACCTGGATGAAAGCTTAGAGTGTTATTTATTTGTTGACCACATCCCCCTGCTA